CTCCCCGTGAGTTCAGCGTGCCCACAGCCTGTTTATTTATACGTAGTTATATATTGTTAACATGTTTCCTTACTGATTTTAGAGAGGAAGAGAAAAAAAAAAAGAAGAGAGAGGAAGGGAGACAGAAACAGCAATGAAACATTGATCGGCTGCCTCCTACACGCCCCCCACTGGGAATGGAGCCTGCAACCCAGGCGCCCTGACCAGGAATCGAACTGTGACCTCCTGGTTCACAGGTCGATGCTCAACCACTGAGCCACGCCGGCCGGGCGATATTTATATTTTTAAAAATTTATCTTTACTGTTCAAAGTGTTACAGATGTCCCCCCTTTAACGGTCACTGACCCCCTCCGCCCCGCCCCTGGCCCTCCCCACACTACTGTCTGCCCATGGGTTCATCTCTTCCCCTCCGACCCCTCACCCCCCACAGCCTTTTTAAACGGAAGGTCACATGGCAACTGCACTGTCCGCTCGTAAGCCGACAGACGGGTGTGCTGTGTCCTCCCTCCGGGGTCTGGGGCCACTGCCACCGCAGCCAGCAAACACGCGGGCTGTGCCCACTGGAGTGCCATGCAGGGTTTTACAAGGAAACACGCTCTGGGGAATGCTGTCAGTGCCGCTAGGGGAGGCCCGCGTGGCCCCTGCTGGAGACACAGTGCCCTTGTGGTGACCCTGACAGAGAGTCAACGGTGACTTTGACAGAGAGTCAACCGTGAATCGGCAGAGCCTTGAGATCAGGGTTTCTCAGTCTCTCCCCATGACTGGCATTTTGGGACTAGGGACCTCCCCCCCGCAGCCCCCCCGTCTCTCTCCAAGCTGGAGGGCCCGGTTCAGACCCCACGGAGCGGGCGTACCTGGCTCTTTTTCTCCTTCTGTTCCAAGATTCTCTGCAACGCTTTCCGCTCCTTCTTGGTCAGAGGCCGCTTCGCCTTCGGCAGCGGAGGGGCCTTCGTCTTCCTCTTCCGCTTCCCGGGCAGGACCAGGGCGTTGCTGGCATCGACGCCTTTCAACGTGTCCCGATCTGAGAAGACACGTGTGTGTGACCCACGGCCCCAGGGCCAGGGAGTTCAGATGCTGGCAGTACCCGGGGTTCCCCATTAATGCTGGTTTCCTCTGGGACCTCCCCCCCACCCAGCCCTGCACGTGAGCCCTGTGAACGCTCACACAGGACCGGGGGTGCGGGCCCAGCCGGTCCTGCGTTCACTCAACTCATCCACCCAGCACGTGCCACGGGTCGGGCTCGGCTGTGAGCCAGGGTGCCTCCATCCCAGTGTGGGGGTGGGGGGAGAGGAAACAGGATGAGTAACAGTGTGTCCCTCGAAACTGGGGCCTGCTCTCAGCGGGTCTGTGAGATCAAAGCTATTCTCATCATAATATTATGAGGTACCAAGTTGGTGCCATATCTACTTATTTATTTATTTTTTAAAAATATGTTTTTAATTGATTTCCGAGAGGAAAGAGAGGTACCAAGTTGGTGCCATATCTACTTATTTATTTACTTTTAAAAAAATATATTTTTAATTGATTTCCGAGAGGAAGGAGAGGGAGAGAGAACATCAATGACGAGAGAGAATCATTGATCAGCTGCCTCCTGCACGCCCCCCACTGGGGACCAAGCCCTCAACCAGGGCATGTGCCCCAGAGGGAGAAACATCAATGACGAGAGAGAATCATGGATCTGGGGACCAAGCCCTCAACCAGGGCATGTGCCCCAAGCATTCCCAGTTCCTCTCAACTGATATATGTTAAGAAATTATAGCAAAGACAGTTTCCTGTAAAACTGGAGTAGAATGTTGGGTAGTGCAGTCAGCCCTGTGATATTCTCCAATAAGGGCTGCTCTCTCCAACCCTTTTTTTTAGGAGGATTGTATCAGCAGAGTCTTACTTCATCAGACTCAGCCTTCTTAGTCCTCCAGACTGCCCCCATTTTTAAGTTCCATCTCCACTCAGCCATACTGGCCACCTTCAGGTCTTGACTCAATGCTCTCTCTCTCAGCAAGCCTCCCCCATCCACCCTATGCAATGTCACGGCTCACCATCACCTCTCTGCGTTATCTCCTCAGTACTTACGTCCACACCACGTTCTGTATGCTTTGTCTGTCTTTGCTGTCTCCTCCCAGGAGCCGCTAGCCTCACTAAGACAGGGATTTTTTATTTTTCTTAAGCCTCCTTTTTTTTTTTTTGTCTCCTCTCCAGCATCTATTCTAGGGGTTCCTGGCACTTAGTAGGTGCTCCTACTAAACGGAGCGCCAAGCAGCTTGGAGCTGAGCAGGAGGGTCTGGGCTCAAAACACAAATCGAGGGCAAGGAGCTTGTAGAAACGAAGCCATCAGGACAAACGGACTTACTTTTTTTGCCCAAATTCCCCTCCGCTGTTACATTAGGGGAGAGAAACCCCAGGTATTGTCCCAAACCCAGTTAAGTAAGACTGACACCCGGCCGGCGTGGCTCAGTGGTTGAGCGGGGACCAATGAACCAGGTCACCAGTTCGATTCCGGGCAGGGCACAGGCCCGGGTTGCGGGCTCGATCCCCAGTAGGGGGCGTGCAGGAGGCAGCCGGTCCGTGATTCTCATCATTGATGTTTCTCTCTCTCCCTCTCCTTCCCTCTCTCTGAAGTCAATACAAACACATAAAAACGTAGACTGTCACTGCGCCCCCTTCTTTGGATCATCTTAGAGGGGAGCTCTCTGGTCCCCCCACCCCCGGATGGCGAGGGCAGGGCGTCGTCGGGAGCCCTTCGGCTCCCATTGGCCTGTCCTGACCCCCAGGCCCGGGCCGGCCCCTCTCCCCAA